ATGTCCCGTTCACCACTGACAGTCAACGCTGGCTTCTTTTAACCATGATCACAACTGTTCCCTACCCATAAGCAAGCGGTTGTTATCGTATCCATGACGACAAAGGTCCTCTAGCTTTAATGCAGTAGTAATTTTAACCCAAAACTACAATGTTTCCCTAACGCTAGTCCCACATAGCCAGACACTAGAGTCGGTGCTGCACCATCATCTCGTTTGCATTTCTTCAACGGCTCATAGCAAACCTGAAAAAAATATTGGTGGCCCACATTGGACCTGTAGCAATACCAGTAAACCAGTGGTTCCTGACCCGTGGCCGACAAATCATTTATATAATAGTGTTTTTAAATGTCCTAAAACTAAATGATCTTTAACAGCTTTCAATTTTTTTTCATTGTTGCCACCTGAATCACATGGTCGGATGTGGGCAACCAACATTTTTGAGATTTTTAAGTGGCCATGAGTCGGAAAAGGTTGAGACCCAGTGAAGCGTGCGATGTGGTCCAGCCGGCTACGACTTTAAAGTTCCTCTCATTGACTCATCATACTGAGAGTTTTTAAACAATTTAAAGCTGTTAAAAATCATTTAGTTTTAAGACATTTAAAAACACATAGTTTTTCATAATTACATTTATTCACCAAAACTGTTGGTTTACAAATGATTTATCGGCCCACTTGCAATACCCTCGCAGCCCACACGGTGCTCCTGCAGAACAGTGTCAGAGGGAAACTTACGTATCTTACATACCTAACGTATGTCGACTGTGTGATCACATGATCCAAATGTTAGCATGTAGCTAGTACATGTTATCATGTAGGCTGCAGCTCAGGGGAAGCGGGAAGGAAGGAGAACGTCACCTACATCCGGTGAGTCAGGCTAATGCTAACGCTAACCTAAACCTAAACCTAAATTAAACCTGAACCACAGCGGTCGGATCATAACACTGGTTTATTTTCCCACAGTGCTTTGCAGTCGTGTTGTAAGGCACAGACAAACGATGATGAGAGATCAGGAAGCAGAGGGCAGTTAAAAACGACGTCATTACGTCTGAATGACGTTTTGTTATTCAACCACGACTGCCGTTTCTTCCTCGCTCCAGCTGCCACGTCCACAGGTTATGGGAATAAAGAAGCGGGAAAAGGCTGGTGGTTTTTGCATAAACTGTGGGACATTAAGCTGACAACTGTAGCACTGTGCTGCGTTCAGGGACAAATGTGTAACTTGTGATTTAGGGCTGTATACAGTATGTTGCTCGTGCACAGTCGTAGCACATGAACCGATTTTTCAGGCTGCGCTGGGAGGTGATGAGTCCACTGCTGTTCTTACACCTTCTGGTGAAAGTGCAGAGCCATGAGTTGATGTATTAACAGGTTGATTCTGAACAACAAAGACGGTTATTGCAGGTTTCTAAGGCTGTGTGTGAAACTGGACGACACGGCTCTGTGATTAAAGTATGAGCTGTTTCCTTCATGGAGGTGATGATGAGTTCAAACTAAAATCTACCAGTACTGAAGTTAACAAGTAAAAAAACAGTATTCAAAAATAGAAGTACCATGGGTCACTGGGATATTTCAAGAGTACAAATATTAAAACATAGAGTTCAGATTAATGATATTTATAATAGTCATTATTGTTATTATCATTAATCTGTTATAACTATATAAAAATATGTTATCTGTTTGATCAGAGTAATAAAATCCCTCCTGCTCTTTATCTCTCGTCAAATTATAACAAATCAAAATGTTTTGCATATCTAGCATTAGCATTTAAGGTAGTATGGCACACCCCCTTTTTTTTAATAACATTCAAGGGTGGTAATCCAATTAATGCCTTGTTTTACAAGAACGACTGTACAACTCGTCTTCCTTCAAATGTTTTCAGAGAGAGCTTTGGTTCGGTGAAACCATGTGACAGCAGCACACAACAGAAAAATAAAACATGTCAGAAAATCAGAAAGTTCTATCCTCACTGGTCCTACATCATCTAATGAGTACGAGCTAATAGTGTCTACTGGAACTACAGAACATCTAGAACTATTACTGGGGGGTGGGGTGGGGGTGTCGGGGTGGGAGGAGAGACGGGGGAGTGGTTAACAAGTCTGTGTATAGACCACTACACTGGTATCAAAGACAGCACTCCTACAGAAGCTCAGTGGATTTTCTTTTGTTTATATTACTGAGATACATTAATGATCAACTGAAGATTATTGATTATTGTAGAGGATGACGGGGGGGGTGGAGAGAGAACTGGATGTATAGTACATAATATTATTATTGTTAGTTTTATAGATATTATTCATATAATCATTAACAACCACAAAAATATTGATACAAATCCTTCATAGAAATGTAAATCATACAAGGGAACATACATGTTTCTCTTCTTAATAACAACATACACTTTTTTTTTCTTTTTTTCTTTTTTGGAGTATTTGATTATTACTTGAAGTCATCCCCGTTTTAGAAACAGTCCAGCATTCAGCTTCCCGTGGTTTGTAAAAGTAATCTTTAAAATGTCTGAGGGGAAGAAAACAGCATTTACATTTATCAGTTCATAAACCAAACTTCAAAAGAAAGGTCGATTCTTTAGTTATAGCAAATTCCTATTTACATGAAATCATAGAACATTCCTATTTTCCTTTCTGGTCTTTGTGATGTTTGTATGAAACTCTGTGTGTACGTAGTGACCGTCTTCTCCAGGCTGTTTGGCAACTGACAACATTTAAAAACAGTAAAACTAAAGTCCAGACATGTTGGAGCTTCATCACTGAGTCCAACCGTGCAAATGAAACCTGCCTCAGCCTCGCCTCCCATCACAGTGCAACAACTCCTCTTTGTGAGCCATTCTTTTTTCTTCATCATCATCATCATCATCGCCATCTCTACAAAAACACACAGGACTGAGGTAATAAGCAACACTCATCTGCTGCGCTTCCTCCTCCTCGGAGAGAAACACAAGTTGCCAGAAATAATATTAGAAATATTGCCTTTTGTGTGACACCAGACGTGTAAAGACAATTCGAGCATATCAAACAATATTAGGACACAACCAATTTGTCTTGTATTCCCAGAATTATCAAGTGTGCTTTGGACTGATTTGTGTTAATGCTACTGAGTCGCTGTGACACAGAGACGACCCCGCCAGCTGTGTGTCACCGAGCAAAGATGTTGGCGTGACAACAACTGTGAGTCGTCTTCTTCTAGCTGCAGCTTATCATGCAGACAAATATGCTGGTATTAAATTAGCAAAGAGCGTATATAGATGTGTGGTGGGATTGTTTCTTTCCTCAGGCGTGGTGTCATGGACGTGATGATCGACCATCATGTCACAACGATACGTCTGTGCCTCTCTTAACCACTAGATGCAATGACTGGGACACGATTTACAGTTACACACTTTTAAAATCTGACACACTATTAAAAGATCCAGACGACAAAACATGTAAAAAACAGGACTGTGAAAATATTGTTGTCCTCTTATTGCCAAAAATAGGTACGTTTAGTGAGCGCACTGCTAGAACCACAGCTACGAAGTGTTGTCGTGTGTCTTGTGTTGATCTCATGAATCAGTAGTGTCTCCACTGAGCCACACTGGTTCACATCAGCTGTCTTTGTGAAATCCCTTCCATCACACAAAGACAAAACCAGACAGGTGTCCACAGTGTCTCAGCAGACACACACACAAAGAGGTGGAGTGACGGGTTCAAAGGATCAACATCAAAAGAAACAAACGTACACAGAAAATAATAAGAACTAAAAACTCAAAAACAATTTCATGACTCATTTAAAATCCAAGACAAAAAGGTCAAAGTTCAAGAAAAGTGATTTAAATCAAGAAAAAAAATCTTCAAACGTAAAACCTAAACCAGCAAATGTCTACACAATGACACCGGATGAGAGTACAGTCAGAGGTACAGTCAGAGCTACAGTCAGAGGGACCACAGTACAGTCAGATGTACAGTCAGAGGGAAAGTCAGAGGGACAGTCAGAGGGACAGTCAGAGGGACTACAGTCAGATGTACAGTCAGAGGGAAAGTCAGAGGGACAGTCAGAGGGACTACAGTCAGAGGTACAGTCAGAGGGACAGTCAGAGGGACAATCAGAGCTACAGTCAGAAGTACAGTCAGAGGGACAGTCAGAGGGACAGTCAGAGGGACTACAGTCAGAAGTACAGTCAGAGGGACAGTCAGAGGGACAGTCAGAGCTACAGTCAGAAGTACAGTCAGAAGTACAGTCAGAGGGACAGTCAGAGGGACAGTCAGATGTACAGTCAGATGTACAGTCAGAGGGACAGTCAGAGGGACTACAGTACAGTCAGAGGGACAGTCAGCAGGGACAGTCAAAGGTACAGTCAGGTACATCAGAGGGACTACAGTTACAGTCAAGGTACAGTTCAGAGGTACAGTCAGAGGGACCTACAGTACAGTCAGAGGACCAGTCAGAGGGCTACAGTACAGTCAGAGGTACAGTCAGAGGGACTACAGTACAGTCAGAGGGACTACAGTACAGTCAGAAGCGGAACTACAGTAACAGTCAGAGGGACAGTCAGAGGCGACTATAGTACAGTCAGAGGGACAGTCAGAGGGACTACAGTACAGTCAGGAGGTACATCAGAGGACAGTCAAGAGGGACTACAGTACAGTCAGAGTGACAGTCAGAGGAACAGTCAGAGGGACAGTCAGAGGGACAGTCAGAAGTACAGTCAGATGTACAGTCAGAGGGACAGTCAGAGGGACTACAGTACAGTCAGAGGAACTACAGTACAGTCAGAGGGACTACAGTACAGTCAGAGGGACAGTCAGAGGGACTACAGTACAGTCAGAGGGACAGTCAGAGGGACTACAGTACAGTCAGAGGGACAGTCAGAGGGACAGTCAGAGGGACAGTCAGAGGGACAGTCAGAGGGACTACAGTACAGTCAGAGGGACAGTCAGAGGGACTACAGTACAGTCAGAGGGACAGTCAGAGGGAGAGTCAGAGGGACTACAGTACAGTCAGAGGGACAGTCAGAGGTACAGTCAGAGGGACAGTCAGAGGGACAGTCAGAGGTCTCAGTAGCATGTTTGTAGCAGAGCAGACTCGTCTTGTTTCTGTTGTGGTTTCTGACTGTTGTTTTTGGCTGTTCTTCATCTGGTGCCTCCTCCGCCTGGACTCACTGCGTGGATGCTGTAGTGGTTACTGCTGGATGACATCACCTGTACACAGAACAAGGTTAGAACCTCCGGTCTCCTGAAACACCGCTACACACACACACACACACACACACACACACACACACACACACACACAAACACACACACACACTGCCAGAGGCCATCAGCACCACAGTCACATGACACAGGTCTCTGCAGGGCTCTGAGAGCGAAGCGACGTCAACATCAAAACCATGTCAGATATGAGAGAAATATTAGCATTGGAGTTATAATCCTGAAGGTTTCTGACTGCTGTTGACAGACAGTCTCATTCAGACACAGTTCCAGTTTAAGTGACCACAGAAATATCAGTGCAGCCAAACAAACCCTACGTTGTTTCAATGAAGACGACTGTTAATGTGGTCGGACATAATAAAACTACACTGTCTTTCTTCCACATCACCCAGTACAACACTACCAGTGTAGAGGGAGGTAAGTGCGGTGGCTGCAACGGCCCAAAACACTTCCAACAGGAGAAACAAGCTACAAATTCATAAATGACGAAGATTCAAAAACACATATGGAAATACAAAACAAACACAACAAGGGGAACGTGCTGCAGGAAGACAAAACAAAGACATGATCAGTAAACACGCTGCAAATACAACAACAAAAACACATGAACTGCCAAAACAAACGCAACAGAAAAAAGCGCTGCATGTTCAGACAACACAACGGAGGAGCTCCAGGCCTCTAGGGGGAGCTCTCAGGTAAAGCGCTCTTACTTTAACTGAGGTTTCTCCTCCGCCCCGGATCTTTAGGAGACCAGCAGCAGGTCTGAGTCTGTTCACTCCGATGGGAGACGGGAACGCGATCACACATTTGTTTTGGGGTTTTTTGTTTTGCCAAAACAAAGACATGAAACGATGCACGAAGAAAAACATGTTGTTGCATCAGTTCTGTATTTGCAGCTTGTTTGCTGTTCATGTCTTTGTTTTGTCTTCCTTCAGCATGTTCCCGTTGTTGTGTTTATTTTGAATTTCCTTGTGTTTTTGAATCTGCATTGTTTATGAATTTGCAGCTTGTTTCTCTTGTCGGCCACTGTAGGTAAGTGCAAAATGTAAATGCACTGAATAGATAAATAATAATATCAAAAAATCCTGTTTGATGAGAAAGTGGTCCCTGAGAAAACCTGGCACTAATGTCACGTACCAAAAATACTATAGTGGTGTTCAGACTGAACACGATGTACATTTTCAAAGTCAGTGGCAAAGACAAAAGTTGACAAACAAATTTAGTCCAGGTAACGTGAACTAAGGTGAAACTGTGAGTGACTGAATGAGATAAAATATCTGACCATTAGATTTTGATTATTCCACATTCGGGTGTCAGAAAGACAGAAGACCATAAGAAAAATATCTGCCAGTATCTGCGATTTTATATTTGATGACTGGATGATGTAGAATTTACTTCCAGTACACGGCAACTGTCTCTGCTCCTCTATAGACCCACAGAAACCCTGTCATGTCCTTCAGACCGGACACATTAACACAGGGACTCAAACAGCTTGTGCCTCGGCTCAAAGACTCGTACTCTCAGCTCAACGTCTCACTTCCTTCATAATCTGATGCATTGTTTTATTGCCAATTTTGTAATTTGGATTGATGGTCGGCGTCTATCCCATCTATAAAGCGAAGAGGACGTGAACGGCACAGAGCTTCACGTGTCTGATTCCCTGAGCAGCGGATACAGACCTGGAGACGAAGGCAGCAAGCTGCAGTGAGACGCTCTGGGTTACAGCATGCAGAGACGCTCATGCAGAGACGCTCAGACACTGGGTCCATGTTCAGGGGCCACATCCTGAGCAGGACCAACCGAAAAGAGACGGTCTGGCCTACAGCTGTTCCTGCCCTCATCGATGCGTCATAAAGCGCTGCTCCTGTCACCTAGCAACCTTTACAACACTTCATTTTTTTATTTATTTTTTTCACAAAAACTTGAGGACTCAACCCCCTGAGGTCGATGGACGTTTCTATTAATTAGAAATATGGTTTGAATGTTGTTAGAATCTGTCGACTCTCCACTTTCTGTTTTATATTCTTTCGAGATTGTGTGTGACTGGAAGCCGGAGCTGGAAGGCCTCGAAGCAGACCTCCAAAATTTAGTTAAAGTAGAGAGACAGACAACATTTAGCATTTTAGGCATTTATTATACATTTATCTACTATTTAACCACATGTTGCTCTATTTCTATGAACCTAGAGACTTTAGTGAACACATCAGTCGAGGTTTGTTTTCACGAGAGATTTGGAGAATTTCAAAAAAACAGGCATCAGTTTTTCAGCATTTGAGCCAAATGATCTTTTTGAACAGTGTAAAGAGTCGAAGAGGGGCGTCATTATAGAACGAGCTGAGATTATTCTGAAAATTGTCATATTGGAAATAATGCAGAAATTGAGAAAATACTCATTCAGACTTCAGAGGGTTAAAGCCCTTCGTTTTAACAGTTGTATGGAAGTGACAGTGTAATCCTCAGGCTCTTTGTCACTGTTGCTTGCTTCCATATTATTTTTATTACTGGGGTGCAATGAATCTTGGGATAGGTTGGACCAGGAAGGATCCACCTGTTGGGGCGCCCGTCACTGTGACGCAGTCACTCTTCAAATGTGGCCCCTGAATTAGACACAGCTCCAGTGTTGAAGTGACGGTTTAGTGGGTAACAAACTCCAGTCTTCTCCCTGACTTCCTGTTTTCCAACACCACGCCGCGGCTCCTCATACAACACGTTCTCCACCATGACTCAGTGTTTACATCGACAGTAAAGAGTGAAGCTCGTTAAGTTATTAAAGTTTAAAACTGAATGAATCGAAATGATATGTTTGCTGCCCCTGTGTCAAACCACCAAACCTCTCGTCACCTCACGAGCCAAATACCCCCATCAATCTACAGAGTTTGCAAATAAAGAACTTGTTGTTGTGTTCTGCTTCATGGCTCCAGACTGAGACTAAAACCTGACGAGGCTCCGTGACCTGCTCTCCGTCAGCATGAGCGTGTCTTAATCTCATGTTTCACTATGTCATGTCTTCATCAAAATGAAATTTAACAGCCAACGTAAACTCTGTCCATCGTTATGTTTTTATTCCTCTGCGCCGCAACAGTCGGAGCGGCAGCCATTTTGTTTTCAGGTTGTCCGTCAGTTCGTCTCATTCTGGTGGACACGATATCTCAATAACGCCTTGAAGGAACTTCTTAAAATTTGGTAAAAACATTCAGCTGGACTCAAGGATGAACTGATTAGATTTTGGTGGCTAAAGGTCAAAGGTCAAGGTCAGTGTGACCTCACAAAACACTTTTTAGCCATTACTAAAGACTTCACAGCAATTATGACAAAATATTTATTTTTTATTTTTATATGACTGTGGATAAACAGGGATGTAATCTGAAGATGAATTTAAGTATTTAAATTATAGATATTAAATTATGATATTATTTATCTGTTTTTAGTATTTTTTATTGTTATTTTGCAGTTTTCTTTCTTTGTTCTGTCACTTTGCTGCTGTAATACGACAAATTTCCCCTCTGTGGGATGAATAGAAGAATATTTGATCTGATCTCAGTCAAGAACTGAAGTTAAAGCTTGAAGGGTTTTATCAACATGAGAGTGTCTTAGTGTCTTTAATGTTTCATTATTTCATGTCTTCATCAAAATGACATTTAACTGCCAATGTGAACTTTTTATATGTCTCATAACTTGTCAAATGGCAGTATGGATTTAATGACCACATGAAGTCCTGGTCTGAGGACCACACAGCAGCACATAAAAATTATTATTATTATTATTATTTTATTTATGAGCCTCCAGTAAAAAATAATGTTTTAATTAAAAAACCCTGAATGTGCAGAATGAGAAGAGGCACACACGGAGAAGTCTGGAGGATTGGAGTATGCATGCAGACATTAGTCCCACTGTGGTTAATAGTGCAGTTACAATGACAGAGAGACGTCTTCACGTGGAGTTCATGATGGAAATCAACAACTTTTCAAAAGGCCGCGCTGCCACAGACCCTGTGAAAAGCTGCGTCACCGGGGACGACGACACAGACTGTGTGACATGAACAGGAAGTAAGATGTGTACGTCTGATGGGCAGGTGGGGTAGTGATAGAGAAATATCATATAATACCTCCAACGAAGCGGCAACCAGTCACCTGTTAGCTTTCAGTGGTATCCGTTTGTAAAAGCTGTCGCGATCAACGGACCCTAAAATGTACAGTGAGTGTGTCAGCTGTTGGACAAAAGGTCTGTTCGTCTCTCGGACTTCACGACAGTGGAAATGACAGACAGGCTGAACTGAAGTGTGACAATATGAACCTGCACATGTAGTTTCTGTTTCTTTGGTTTCCTGAATTAAAAATTAAAAAGATGTTAAAATGACATTAAACACTGTTGGTTTTACTTTTGTATCTGACAATGACTGAGTGAATAACCCTCAGACTGACACTGGACTGAGTGGATGAAACCTCAGTATGACCTGTAATTAAAATAGCAGGAAACTCTGAGTGTGTCAATGATCAACATATCTACAAACCTTAAAATCTCAAACATGTTGGCGGCCGACATTCGACCCTGTAACAATACAGAAGCCAAATAATGTGTTCCCACAGTTTTTATTTTAATGGTAACGATCGAACGTTCAGGGCTGAACTGAAACCTCAGTTTTTCTTTTCTGTTTGACAGGTAGAGCTCGCTCGTCTTCTCACCATCTGTCTCTGACGCTTCCTGTTTCTAACCTGCGGGAAACTTTGATTCTGCAGTTGTTACCATGGATGTGATCTGTTAGCACATAATCAGACTGAGATAGTAAACAAGTCTATGATGAGGTCTGGTGACATAAAAGTTCCTGTCATTAGTTTATCACAGTAATTGGCCTTAATATGAGAAAAAAATAAACAATGAAAGGAGTTAAATATTAATGTTTTTAAAGATAATTTAGTCTTAAAACATTTTAAAACATCATTTATATTGATTCTATATATATATATATATATATATATAATTAGGGGAGACTGGAGATGGTTGTAACATTTTTTGACATTTCTGTCTTTATCTTTCAAACCAGTGCGTTCAAACTTTAATACAAACTAGTTCCATGTGTCTGCTGTTAAATGGTGCAGCTGTTATCTGTTATCCATCCCTGTTAACACAAGGAGTGAAATGTCACAATTCACCACATAGTGAACTAGCTTAGCTTACAGCTAATAGCTAAAACATTAGCACTGACAACTAGCATGAAAGATATCTACATAGACCAACAATAAACATGACAGGAGTTTGAGGAGTTGAACGACAGAGCAGAAAGAGATGTTGTTAGTTTTTCCTTCTAAAAGTCACAGGGAGCTACTTCCTCACATGTGGAATAAGGACTAAACTGAGCATGTGCAGAGTGAATCAGGTGATTCCTAACTACTTCCTGATTGGAGAAATTGAAAGTGATACAACCATCTCCGGTCTTCCTTACCTCTTTTCATCAAAATTGTTCTGTTATGCAAATGATTTCTCGGCCCAGTTCAAAAACCTTCGCGGCCCACCAGAGGGCCGGGGCCCACGGGTTGGGAACCAGTGTGTTAGAGAACTACTGGAAGTTAAGCAGGTATTTTAAAGCAGCACAAACCAAATGATCTATTGGACCTCACTCTTCTGTCTCATGTTTTTGTGTGTGATCAGTGGTGAGGAGCAGAACCAGAGGGTGAGGGACGCAGAGTTAGTGGAGAGTATAATGCAGTGATGATGATGATGATGATGATGATGATGATGATGATGAAGATGAAGACACAGATACACTCACAGCGATGCTGTGGCTGAAGCCAGAGCCTGGCTGGGGGCTGGTGGCGCTGATGTAGTTGCCCACACCAGAGTCCTGACTGGCGGTTCCATAGAGGTCCGCTACGGGACCGGGACTGTTGGCCCCGGGAAACGCTCCAGGCCGAGCTGGGTTGGTTCCTGTGGAGGGAGGGGCAGAGGAGAAGGAGGCTGATACACACAGAGGTGACGGTGTATTTGAGATATAAACGTCCTGACAGGTTAATGTGTGAAACGCTGCAGAGGAGGATCCTTCAGTTCACCTGTCAACCATGTTCTCTTCAGTCAGGAGCTCAGGTGTTTCTCATTTACATAAAAATATTAATTACTGTGGATTTTACCAACCTGGTCCCCGTCAAACTACATTCATCCTCAACTATTTTAGTCATTTATGGTGATTCACACTCTCACTGAAGGTGTAGGGCTTTCACACTGGAAAACAAGGGGTTAGGAAGGAGGGTTATCGTCCAGGTGTTAGAGTTCCTGCAGTAGACTCAGTTCAGAGCAGCAGGAGGACCGGTACACTATCAGAGTGATGAGCTGCTGTGGGCGGGGCCAGCAGAGAAAAAAGTTCTAGACACACCCCCCTGAAACAATCCAATACCTGTTTCAATGAAGCTTCATGTAAAATATTTTCAGCTCTTTATCTTCCGTTGAAAACAGCGCTTTCCTTTGGCACTACATTTTTCAACTGCTGAACTACCGTATCCCTACGCATTTCCTCGGCTTTACTGGCAGCGAGCTGATTGCAGGTAATGCACCGACTATAAATGACTACCTCACATCAAAAAACCCAAACTATTCCCTTAAACTCTGTAAAATGTGATATAAGAGCAGCTTCAGTTTTTCTCTACATCCTCCAAATGTTAGAAAAAACAAACTTCTCACCTTCAGTCTGTCAGACAGACCTCAGATATGACTGTCAGACAGTTCATGAGACTGCACAGGGGAGTCGGGCACAACACCCCTTGTCTAATCAACACTGTCACTGGGAGAGCCTCAACACCCCCCCCAGAACTCCCCCCACTCCGGCTCCAGACTCTTTTAAATATACGATGGTGATTATCTTCTCCAAAGCACTCGGGGTATCGGAGCTCGCTGCTGTCTGACAGGCAGGAAATTACATGGGGTGTTCTGGGTAATGTGCGCTAAAATATTACAGGGGTGAACCAATCCACGGACTTCAGTCATACTGAAGAAGAGACTGCAGACCACCACCCATAATGGGCTAGAGTCATGTGTTGGAGGAGTGCAGTATAGTATATACCAGACATTTTCAAAGTGGGAGGTGGGCCTCACCAGAGGCGTCATGATCTGCCCTGAAGGACTCTGTGTTTGTACTTCTGTAAAATGTTTGGACACTTTATGTTTGATTGTTTTGGATTTGATTTAGTTCCTGTTTCATTTTGAAACCACTTCTCTTGAGTGTCTCATTTAGTTACTTAGTTAGTTAGTTTACTTCCTGTCTTTGTCAGATTCCTTTGGATCTTTCTTTCTCGAGTTCTTGGATTTTCTGGGGTTTTTTTGTTTCATGTTTCATGTTCCATGTTCATGTTCATGTTCATGTTTCATGTTCATGTTCATGTTCATGTTTCATGTTCCATGTTTCATGTTCATGTTCATGTTCATGTTCCATGTTTCATGTTTCATGTTCCATGTTTCATGTTTCATGTTCCATGTTCATGTTCATGTTCCATGTTCATGTTCATGTTCATGTTTCATGTTCCATGTTTCATGTTTCATGTTCCATGTTCATGTTCATGTTCATGTTTCATGTTCCATGTTCATGTTCATGTTCATGTTCATGTTCCATGTTCCATGTTTCATGTTTCATGTTCCATGTTCATGTTCATGTTCATGTTTCATGTTTCATGTTCCATGTTCATGTTCATGTTTCATGTTCCATGTTTCATGTTCATGTTCATGTTCCATGTTTCATGTTCCATGTTTCATGTTCCATGTTTCATGTTTCATGTTCATGTTCATGTTCATGTTCCATGTTTCATGTTCCATGTTCATGTTCATGTTCATGTTCCATGTTTCATGTCTCATGTTTCATGTTCCATGTTCATGTTTCATATTCCATGTTCATGTTTCATATTCCATGTTTCATGTTCCATGTTTCATATTCCATGTTCATGTTCATGTTTCATGTTCCATGTTCATGTTTCATGTTCATGTTGTTCATGTTTCATGTTTCATGTTCCATGTTCATGTTCATGTTTCATGTTCATGTTCATGTTCCATGTTTCATGTTCCATGTTCATGTTCATGTTCATGTTCCATGTTTCATGTCTCATGTTTCATGTTCATGTTTCATATTCCATGTTCATGTTTCATATTCCATGTTTCATGTTCCATGTTTCATATTCCATGTTCATGTTCATGTTCATGTTTCATGTTCCATGTTCATGTTTCATATTCCATGTTCATGCTTCATATTCCATGTTTCATGTTCCATGTTTCATATTCCATGTTCATGTTCATGTTCATGTTTCATGTTCCATGTTCATGTTTCATATTCCATGTTCATGCTTCATATTCCATGTTTCATGTTCCATGTTTCATATTCCATGTTCATGTTCATGTTCATGTTTCATGTTCCATGTTCATGTTTCATATTCCATGTTCATGTTTCATATTCCATGTTTCATATTCCATGTTCATGTTTCATCTTCCATGTTTCATGTTCCATGTTCATGTTCATGTTCATGTTCATGTTCCATGTTTCATGTTCATGTTTCATATTCCATGTTTCATATTCCATGTTCATGTTTCATCTTCCATGTTTCATGTTCCATGTTCATGTTTCATGTTCATGTTCCATGTTCATGTTCCATGTTTCATGTTCCATGTTCATGTTCATGTTCATGTTCATGTTCATGTTCCATGTTCATGTTTCATGTTCCATGTTTCATGTTCGTGTTAATAATAATAATAATAATACATTTTATTTAAAGGCGCCTTTCTTGGCACTCAAGGACACCGTACAGAGTTACACAATTTGAGATTAAAAACACATTAAGAAGAAGCAACAATAAAAATGAAATATAAAAATAAAAACAATACGAAAGTGACAGAGCAATTGGCATCAGATGGAAAAGGCAGTTTTAAACAGATGTGTTTTGAGTTGTGATTTGAAATGGGGGAATGAATCGATATTTCTGAGTTGGGGTGGTAGTAGATTCCAGAGACGGGGAGCAGAACGGCTGAATGCTCTACTCCCCATGGTGGTGAGACGGGTGGAGGGGACAGACAGGTGTGTGGAGGAAGAGGATCTGAGGGAGCGGGAGGGAGTGGGAACATGGAGGAGGTCGGACAGATATGGGGGGGCGAGGTTGTGGAAGGCCTTAAATGTTAATAGAAGGACTTTGAAGTGAATACGGAACTGAACCAGTAGCCAGTGGAGCTGTTGGAGGACAGGAGTGATGTGGTGGATGGAGGGGTACGAGTAATGATACGGGCAGCTGAGTTCTGGACCAACTGAAGTTTTTGGAGGGATTTATGAGGGAGGCCGAAGAGGAGAGAGTTACAGTAATCCAGACGGGAAGTGACGAGGCTGTGGACAAGGATGGCGGCAGTGTGGGGGTAAGGGAGGGGCGGAGGCGATTAATGTTTCGTAGGTGGAAGTAGGCAGACCGGGTAATGTTATTGATGTGGGATTGAAAGGATAGTGTGCTGTCAAGGATGACACCCAGGCTCTTAACCTGGGGGGAGGGTGAAACGGAGGAGTTATCAATAGTGAGGGAAAAACTGTTGGTTTTGGATAACGTAGATTTGGTGCCAATGAGGAGAACCTCGGTTTTGTTGCTGTTTAATTTAAGGAAGTTTAGAGTGAACCAGGTTTTTATTTCAGTGATGCAATCAGTTAGGGAGGTGGGCGGGAGAGTGGATGAGGGTTTAGTGGAGAGGTAGAGCTGGGTGTCATCAGCGTAACTGTGGAAGTCAATGTTAAATTTGTGAAAGATATTGCCGAGGGGAAGGAGGTAGATGATGAAGAGGAGGGGCCCCAGGACAGAGCCCTGGGGCACACCGGAAGTGATGGAGGAGGGGATGGATTTAAAGGACTTGAGTTGAATGAACTGAGTGTGGCCAGAGAGGTAAGATGTGAACCAGTCTAATGCAGTGTGGGTGATGCCAATGGAAGATAGCCTGTTGAGGAGGGTGGTGTGACAAATGGTATCAAAGGCTGCGCTCAGGTCGAGGAGGATGAGGATGGTGAGGAGTCCAGAATCAGCTGCCATAAGGAGGTCGTTGGTGATTTTAATGAGTGCTGTTTCACTGCTGTGGAGTGGGCGGGAACCGGACTGGAACTGTTCATACAGGTTATTGTGGGATAGGTGAGAATGGAGTTGGGAAGCAACTGTTTTTTCGAGGAAATGTTCATGTTCATGTTCCATGTTTCATGTTCATGTTCATGTTCCATGTTTCATGTTCATGTTCCATGTTCATGTTTCATGTTCATGTTCATGTTCATGTTCATGTTCATGTTCATGTTCATGTTTCATGTTTATGTTTCAGCCTCGGAGGTTGATGCTTGGTCAAAACATCCATAAAGGTTTTAGCGGCCCTGTCAGTCTCTGAGTGAAAGGTAGAAGAGATGTGCGACACTGACCGACTTGATCTTCAGGAACAACAGTGCAGAGACCTGTGAGGTTATAAAACAGCTGAGTGGATTCTGAAATGACTTTTACTTAGAATGTAAACTTATTGATCATTGTGTGATGTTTCATCATAATTCGTGCAAAACCTGCGTCGTCACCAGACATGTCGTACTGAGATGATCTGGATCTGTGTGTGTGACAGTGTGATCCACTTCCTGTCAATATTCAGCAGCTTTGCAGCCACTGAAGAGGAGGTCCAACAATCAGTCAATGCCCTGATCAACTCTGTGTTGCACTGGAGGAGACAACTGCTGGTCAGAAAGGATCACATGTTGACCGGCTTTATTCTAACTGATCCGTTTAAATCTGCCATCATCGTCACAGTGATACAGATCATTAAGATCAGATCGTGACATCTCTAATTAACACTGTTTTGTAATATATTCCATTAAAGAGAAACCTCCACCCAAAGCCTGAGAGCTGCTCATTTTTCTGCCACTTGGTGACACACTCATTAATATTGAATGAGGCTGGGGC